TCAGATTTGCTTTCTTCTTCCTTCTCATCCTCAGCTGGTTCCCCGAGCTGTGTTTGCAGAAAATCACGTGCCTTAAGAACAGTCAATCTTTTCTTTTTTTATCATGAAGTTTGAACATGACGCCTTCTGGGATTAGCCATCTGTAACTGATGCCATTTGTTTGTAGAAAAAGGATTAGTTCTTTATAATTCTTTCTCTTCTGTCATGTCAAATGGGATATCTTTTTAAATCCTGATGTTATTGTCCCCAATTTTCAAAGGAGTTCCCATAGTTGCTTTCAAAATAGAGTCTCTCACATGTCTCTTCGAGAATCTGACTACTATTTCCCCAGGCAGATTATTTTTCTTGATGTATGAGGAATAGGACCTATAGACCACATCCATCTCGCTGTAGAGGTAGTCCGCTGTCAAATCTGTCATTGGGGCTATTGCTTCACTCAGCCGTTGCTTCAGATTCTCTCCTTTAATTTCCGGGACCCCTTGGAACTGTAGGACCAAATTGGCTTTCTCCATTTGCAGCTGTAAAAGTTGTGACTCTTCCATGGCTTGCTTCATTTCCAGCTTGTGCACCTTTTTCTTTTTTAGTATTGGCATCCATTTCCTTCACCTTCTCCCCCATTTGCTCCGTTGCTTTTAAAGATTGAGTCAATTGTAGCTGCTGTAAAGCCAAACTCTGACCAATTATTGACAGTTGTTGCTTGATATTAGTCATCTCATCCAGCAGAGGGCACAAGGAATCTGCCAACATTTTAGAAAGCTCAGTGGTCTCTTCCATTCGAGGACTACCCACTAGTTTTGCTTTCAAAAGTTTTTCTTTCTCCGGTTTCTTCCCCGCCATTTTTTAAGATTTGTTTACTTTTCAAAAAGTTGCTAAAGTCTCTGATATTCGCCAAAATGCTTGTCTGCGCTCTGGTAGGTCTCTTAAAACAGATCCAAACGCTTATTTTTCCACTCCCCCCTCTTTATTCCGTGTTTTCGTTTATGAGTTTGGGAGGGGCCCCTCCCCCGCTCGCTTTCCGTCGCTCTTTATGGGGGGCAGCTTTCTTTTAAAATCCTTCATGCTCGCTTCAACCCGACTCACAGTTCGTTGTTGGCCAACCAGCCTCGCTCAGCATCGGGGGGTTTTCGCCCGATCTCCAACGCTTGTCCCGGTCAGCAGCACTCGTACCATTCGGTTACTCAGCGGCAGGACCTTCAGGGCGGAGGAGTGCCTCAATTCTCAGGCATCGCGCCGTCGAAGAGGTTGCCCCTCAAAAGCCCCATGGCTAGGAGCCTTTTACCAAGGCTCTTGGGGGGGTCATGACCCGTCACACCCCCTCCTATACACTGGTGTGCAATTTGCATCCCCGGGGCATCTGGGAGATGCATTTGCCTGCGTGTCGCCATAGACCGGAAGTCGCTAAATCCACTTTCAATGCACTTTTCAACAGAATTTTGCCAGTTCACACAGTAAAATCCAGTTGGAAAGCGCACTGAAAGTGGATTATTTAGTGTGTATGTGACCGCAACTTAAGACTGAAAAGGATAGGTCACTGGAAATGTTGACGGTGTGTGGCAACAGTGATAAAGGTAGACTTCATGCTGAGTACTAGGAAAGCAGCTGAAACTAAAACAACTAATATTGAAATGACTACTGGAAAATGAGTAATGACTGTGGGAAATTACACAACCTTAAGGTTGATAATGAAGAAACTGAAATTGTTAAAGAGATTATTCCTTGGCTCCATCATCAACCAAAAGGGAGACTACAACCAAGAAAGATTTAGACTGGGAAAGGCAACCATGAAGGAATTACAAAAGATCAAGAAATTCATACCATGGTATTCCCCATTACTTTGTATGGGTGTGAAAGCTGGCCAAGGAAGAAAGTTGATTCATTTGAAATGTGGTGTTTGGGAGATTTTTACAGATACCACAGTAGACTGCCAAAAAGACTAATGTGGGTTTTAGAATAAATCAAGCCTGAACTCTGTAGAAGCTAAAATGACTAAACTGAGGTTGTAGAAAAGAGCAAGAGTCCAGTAGCACCTTAAAGACTAACAAAATCTGTGGTAGGGCATGAGCTTTTGTGAGTCACTGCTCACTTTGTCAGATACAGCTAGAATGCCCTGTAAATTGGAAAGTGGAGTGATTTCAGATGTTTAATGACATTAGCAGGTGAATGACAATAGCAGGCATGATTGGATTAGGTGTGATGTGCAGAGCGGTAGTAGGCATGGATAAATCAGCATTGGTAATGAGACAGGAAACCTGGGTCTCAATTCAGTCCAGGTGGATGCATTTTTTGAGCTTCATTATCAGTTGTAATGCAGTAGTCTCTCTAATCTCCCTTTGAAATTCCTTTGTAAGAGAACTGCTACTCTTAGGTCAGCAACTGGATGTCCTGGAAGGTTAGAATGTTCCCCCACGGGTTTTTGAATATTATGGATTCTAATGTCAGATGTATGTCCATTAATTCTTTGTTGTAGGGACTGGCCAGATGCCCAATGTAGAGGGTGGAAGAGCATTGCTGACACCTGATGACATAAATCATATTAGAGTATGAGCAGGAGTATGAACCTGAGATAATATGGGTGGTATTGTTGGGTCCACTGATGGTGTTGCTAAGATCTATATGAGAACAAAGTTGGCAGCCATATTGGACTCACATTCTAGCTGTATCTGAAGAAGTGAGCAATGACTCACAAAAGCTCATACCCTGCCACAAATTTTGTTAGTGTTTAAGGTGCTCCTGGACTCTTGCTCTTTTCTGCTGCTACAGACTAACACAGCTACCCATCTTGATCTAAACTGAGGCTATCTTACTTGAGTCACATTATAAGATGAGTCACTGGAAAAGACAATAATGCTAGGAAAACTTTAAGGCCGTGGGAAAAGAGGAAGGCCCAACATGAAATGGATTGACTCAATGTCCCCCAAATTTGCAAGAGCTGAGCAAGGCTGGTAATGATAGAACATTTTGGAGGTCATTAACTCATAGACTTGTCATATTTGATGGCATTTACACATACACAATATTGAAATGCCCTGTATAGATCTATGATGCCGCTTCATTTGGAACACTGTACAGTTCTGATCACTGTACCTTAAAAAGGACATTGTAGAGATAGGAAGAGGGCAACCAGGATGCTTAAGAGAGGTTAGAGCACTTTTCCTATGAGGAAAGGCTGAAGAGTTTGGAGCTTTTCAGCTTAGGAAAAAAGCTTGGGGTGTGTGTGTGATATGATAGAGGTTTATAAAATTGTGCATGGGGTGGAGAAAATTGTGCATAGTGTTGCACTAGGATCTGGGAAATTCACATTCCAGCTTGTGCCATGGAAGCTTGCAGTGTGCCCTTGGGCCAGTCACATACTCTCAGCCTAATTTACCTCACAGGGTGGTCGCATGAGGATAAAACAGAGAATGGGGTAAGCTGCTTTGGGTCCCCATTGGGGTGAAATGCAGGATATAAATAAATAAAATTATGAGTGGGGTGGAGAAAACAGAACATTTTCTCACCTAACACTAGAGCTTAAAGGCTGCTGGACAGGGCCACAGATGAAGGACAGTGCTTCACACAACAAGTAATTAAATTGTGGGATTTGCTCCTAGTGGCTACAGCGAAGGCCACGAGTTAAGGTGGCTTTAGAGGGGAGTTTAGACAGGTTTATGGAAGAGAGGTTTATCAATGGCTGCTGGCCATGGTGACTAAAGGGAGCCTCCATGTCCAGAATAGTAAGAAGCCCAGTAGCACCTTTAAGAATAACAAACTTTATTGTTTGTGTTTCTGGAAAGCTTTATGCTGCAATAAAGTTTGTTAGTCTTAAAGGTGCTATTGGGTTCTTTACTATTGTGCAGCAATAGACTCACACGGCTAACTCCTCTGGATCTATGCCCAGTGCCCCGAGGCAGGAAGCGTTCGACTACCCTTGCGACGACCGGCGACATGAGGCCTTGCCTTCCGGCGTGCCCTCTTCTCTGGTCCTCCAGGGCGACTGGTTGGGCACTACGAGAAACAGGGCGCCGAGCAAAGTGCCCCGCGACTCCCGGAAAAGCGCATTGACTTTTAATTGCGCTGCAAGAGACGGCAAACGCCGACCTCTTCCGAGCTTCCAGGCGGCGAGAACCGTCGGCGGGGGGCGCGCCAACCCCACTCTCTAAGAGTCATCGCTGGCCACCCCTCCCCTCCCTCGACCAATCAGGAAAGAAAATGTCCCCTCCGCCCTCATTCCAGGTAGATGTGGGCGGAGCCATCTTCTCCCTCGCCTCCCCCTCCCCGACTTTCGGATGAGCTGCCGCCGAGTCCCCTCGCTCCGCGCATGCGTGGCAGCCGGCGTGGCCGGGGGGCGTTCCTTGACCCCCCTTCTAACGGGCGTCGGGTAAAGGTGGCGTCGAGGCAGAGGCGAAGAGAAAGCGGCCGAATTAGCCCATCCCGAGTGCGGTGACGAGCCTGTGAGTGAGGGGAGAGGGCGGGTGCGCGGGCTGAGTGAGGAGGCCCCTTTTGGAGACCCTCTTCCGCTGGTCCTGGGGGGTAATGGGGCGAGACGCCCCCCTCTGCACCGTCCATAGGCCGGGGGGGGGGGGCCCCCAGTCCCCTTCCTTGAGGCATTTCCCATTCCTAGAAGACGCTGCACCTGCAGGGTGTCCCAGCCTCGAATTCCCTAAGCTTAGGTTGCGTGGGGGGGGGATGTAAGGCTGCCAACTCCAGCTTGGGACATTCCTGGAGATTGGAGGGTAGGATTTTGGGAGGGAGCTCAGCATGTTTGTGTGATGCCAGTGTAGGACTTTAGTTTCTCCTACTCTGGTGAGGTCGGCTCTCCCAAGCTGTTATTTCCTCTATAGGAGTGGATCTCTATAGTCTGGGGATGTGTTGTGATTGCGGGAGACCGCCACCGGCAAAGTGGCAGCTGGTGGGGAATTGGGTTGCCAACCTCCTGGGGGAAAGGAGGTGGAGTTTTCCTGGAGGTCCTGAGTTTTCCTGCTCTCCAGATTACTGAACTCTTGGAGGAAACTGTAGCGCTTGCAAGCCTGCCCTAGGGTTGCCAGCAACCTGGAGGGGAAAAATTGCTCTGTCTCTTAAATAGAGCCTTTATGTGTGGAAATGGGCAGGTGAAGTGTTTCATGGCATGGCGGTAAATAAGATTGCCTGTTAGATAACATTCCAGTAACCCTCTATTGAAGGAGCAGAACTTTTTGCCTCCAGGCTGTTGGTAACCCTAGCCCGCCCTCCCTTGTATATATATGGTCCTGGTCACACGGGCTGTAAAATGCGGGGGGAAGCGTGGCAGTTTGGCCCAGAGCAAAATAACGCGTGGCCGCCGGATCACACGTCCCGTGGAGGTCCCGTGGGTAGGGGCGAGGTGGTGATCACACGATGATCTTGCAGTGCGGCAAAGAAGCGGCGCGATCTCACCAACGGCATGCGCGATTCTGCGGAGCAATGGAACTTTCACTTTCCTCTTCCTGCGCATGCGCCATTGGGTGCTTGTGCGCATCCTGTGGAGACTTGGGGAAAAAACACCTGTTTGCGATGGGACATGGACGGGCGCCAGATGCCATGGACTATCACCGGAAACGCGATCAGACGCCAGCCCTTGCCCCGCGGTTTCCAGAAACTAGTACCTCGGATGTACTAGTTTTTTACTCCACATCTTCGGCAGGAAGCCTTGGGTTCGCCATGGGAGCTCTACGCTTCCCAGATGTTGCGGTGTGATCGCGCCCGGAAAATCCGCCTATCATCCGTCTCAGTAGCATGGCTAATGCGCCGTGTGACCGCAGCCTATGAAAGTTATTTGTGGTATACTGACAACTTAAACAGGAGGGGGGAAGGAACTCTTTCTATTTAACATCAGATCATTGTGTGCAGGATTCCTCCCTCACCAGTAGGGGGAGCGACGTCCATCTGCTCCCTCCCCAGCACAGTGTCCAAAACTTTCCACTCTATTCTGTACTGGCCAGGCCACCTTTGGCTCCCATTTGGGGAACTGCGTTTTAGGAGGAATGTTGGCCAACTAGAGCATGTCTAGAGGGGGAGGGGGACTGAGACAGTGCAGGGAGCACCAGACCAAGCCCAATGAGGAAAGGCTGAAAGAGGTGGACATGGTTAGCCAGGGCTCAGTGGCAGAGGATCTCATTTGGACGCAAAGGGGTGCCTGATTCAGTCCCTGGCATCGCCCTTTGTAAAGGGATCAGAAAGTAGGTGATGTGACAGATCTCTGCCTAGGACCTTAGAGAGCTGCAGCTGCCAGACAGAGCAGACAATGCAGACCTTCATATAGACTACTGGTCCAATTTGGTATAAGGTTGCCTGAAGCTGTGTGGGACAGCATGCTGAGCAGTCGGGTAGAACAGATAAAAGGAGGTACTTCTTCACCCAAAGTGTGATTAACACATGGAATTCACTGCCACAAGAGGTGGTGGCGGCTACAAGCATGGACGGCTTCAAGGGGGAATTAGATAAGCATATGGAGCAGAAGTCCATCAGTGGCTATTAGCCACAAGGTATAGATAGGGGCTCTCAGGTTGGGGCATGTGATGAACTGTATTCTTGGTGCTTGGGGGGGGCAACAATGGGAGGGCTTCTAGTGCCCTGGCCCCACTGGTGGATCTCCTGATGGCACCTGGTGTTTTGGGCCACTGTGTGACAGAGTGTTGGACTGGATGGTCCATTGGCCTGGTCCAACTTTGGCTTCTCTTATGTTCTTATGTAATGTCAGAGATTCTGTGCTCGATCCCTGGCATCTCCCGCTTAAAAGAAAATGGATTGATAAAGGCCTCAAAGTGAGCTGCTACCAGTCAGCAGAGACAACACTAACCTTGGTAGAACCACTGTCTGACTTCAGTATAAGGTAGCTTCTTGTTTGAGAAGAGGTTAAAGAGCCAAACTACCCCAGGCATTTTTAATGGCTTGGGTCCCTGCAGATATGCATCGGCTGCAGAGAATATCATTTTTAAAGTCTGCAGGGGCCCAGTTTGGTTCAGGATCATGCCTCCACCTTAGTGCTGTTTCTTGAGCCAAAATGGCTCTGGGGGGAGATATGTGCTTTAACTCCATCCAGAACCATTTCAGCTCAGAAAAACAGCGGGGGGGGGCAGTAGCCCCTTCTCCCCACACGTTGCAGTCCTGAGCGGAATTGGGACCCTAAAATGATTTTTTTTCCCTGCAGTTGCTGTGGGGAAAGTGAGTCGGAAAACCCAGACTTGTCTCGTTAAAAGTCTTTAGTTTGGCCCTAAGGGAAGACGTGATTGCTGTCTTCAAATATCTGAAACGCTGTCATGTAGAAGACAGAACAGACTTGTTTTTTCTTAGAGTGAATGGCTAGAAATGACAGTATTGCTAACCAAATTTTGTTGAAAAGCACAAGCAAAGGTTATTGCATTTCTGATTAGATGCAGTGAGTTATGCAAGAGCTCTTCAAAAGCCATGTTTATTTTGTTACGCTTGGGCCCCATGTAGAGGGGCTGCCATCCAGGCAGCTTGCGGGGCTGGGAATGCTCGTTCCGCAGCATTACTTTATCATGAACTGCTCATACTTTATAAAAAAGGAGGGAGAGACAGAGTTTCATCTCCGTTATATTCGAAGCCCTGAAGTAAAACTCAAGGGGCATTCAGGACAGACCGACGGTTTCACACAACACATAAGCTGCCTCCATGTTGGGATTTTTTTCCCGTGGGTGGAACACAGCATGCCCCCTCTTGGGGGGAGAGCTTCCACACAATATCCCAAACACTGCACGAAACTCCTGCAGCTTTTCCCTTTAAACAGAGCAAAGGAAGAGCCTTCCTTTTCCTAACTTGAAGGGCAATCCTGGAGTTAGGGGAGAGCGCTGCTTCTCTCCCTCCCTTCCTTGCAGCCTTTTCAGTTCCCGGTTGCGACACAACTCCGCTGGGGAGGAAGCCACAAAGGGGCCCAGCCAGAGTCTGCTTGTGTCTGTGGCCCCTTCTGGGATGAAGGGGCAGAGGTGGCAGCGATCTCTGAGGGGAGGAGGCATGCAGACCCTGTCCCCACTCGCTTCCACCCTGGCAGCTGCCGCTCCCAGAGCTGGGGTGGATTTTCCTGCTCCTGTGCACATGGTGGTAGAAAGTGCCCTCAAATCACAGCCGACTTATGGCAAGCCTTCAGGGTTTTCAGGGCAACACATGTTCAGAGAGGTGGTTTTGCCATAGCTTGCATCTGCATAGCAGCACTGGACCTCCTTGGTATCCTAGTCAAGTACTAACCAGGGCTGACCTTGCTTAGCTTTCAAGATCTGATGAGTTCAGGCTAGCCTGGGCCATACAGGTCAGGGAGCTTCTGTGTATATGCAGGAATAAAACACGCAGTATTGATATCCTTGGTTGGTTGTGATTGCTGGGAGACGAGGTGACTTTAAAAGGGGAAATAGACCTTTCCTTCTCTGAATTTACCAATAGCTGTGATGGCTGGATGGGAAGAGGTGGCTGGATAAAACCCTATATTTAGGACTCTAGGTGTGAACTGGATAATTTGAGGTTTCTTTTGGCAGGGGTGGGTTTTATTATTACATTGGCAGTCGCCAAGTTCTTTTCTCAGTCAATTAAGATTTAAAATCATTAGAAGAGAGAAGAAGAGATTGGATTTCTCCCTGACCACCCGAGGAGTCTCAGAGCGGCTTACAAATTCCTTCCCCTCCCCACAGCAGACACCCTGTGAGATAGGTGGGGCGGAGAGAGCTCTGACAGAAACTGTTCTTTTTCAGGAACAGCTCTGACAGAACTATGGCTTGCCCAAGGTCACCCAGCAGGTGCTGCAGGTGGAGGAGTGGGGAACCAAACCCAGTTCTCCCAGGTTAGAGTCCGTGCACTTAACCACCACACCAAACTGGCTCATTCAATTTTACATTATATAGACACATGTATTAAATAAATTTCCTTCTCTCTTTTTTTTTTAGTCTCACTGTGACACTGTTCAGAGCCTAATTGGCTGTGAGAGCAGTATCATTAAAGTAAAGATGGCTGAATGGGGGTCTCCATGTTGAGAGGCAGTGTGTGCCCCTGGAATTTTTTGTGCTGGGGGCTAACAGTGGGGGAGGCTTTGGCCTCTGTGCTCCTGCTTGCACACTTCCCAGGTGACTGTGGAAAGCAGGGTGCTGGACTAGATGAATGACTTGTTTGATGCAGCAGAGCTTCTGTTATTTTCTTCTGTCCAGCCTGTCTTTGCGTTAATCTCCCTCCTGCTGGCCTCCAGGATTTGCTTGCAGGATGTTCGACCTGCTGGGCAAGTTTAGAAACCATTGCCGTGTTCTTTTACTTTCTCTTCATTCCATATCATAAGAGGATCATAACCGGCCTCCTATCACTGGAGCATGTTGGAAACACAGCACAAAGAGGGAAAGATTGCATAATTGCCAATAGTTTAGGAAAGTGTTGGAGGCAGGGGAGCTTCTGTCCCAAATTTAGCAAAAATATATTTCTTGCCTCTAACAGGATTGTGTGTTGTGGAGGGATTTGTGTGGTTGGAGCTCAGTGGAAGAACCTCTGCTTTGCATGCAGAAGGTTCGAGGTTCAGTCCCCAGCATCTCCTGTTAAAGGAATCAGGTAGAAGGTGATGTGAAAGATGTCAGACTGAGACACTGGAGAGCCACTGCCAGTCTGAGTAGACCATACTGACCTTGATGGCTTTATGTACGACATAGTTTTAAAGTACACACGCAAGTCTCTCATTTAAGTCCCCATGTGAAAGGGGTGTGTATAACTGGACCAGAATAAGACAGCTTAGTGGTGACAGAGGCGTATGCATGCAGGTCTCAAATCGTGCTAGAATCCAAGAAAGTACTCATAGGCCTTCCTTTCTGCCCCAGCCTTGGTCCTGCCTGTCGGTCCTCGAATGCTTCCAGGTTCCAAGTCGCTGCTACCTGGCTTACCTCGTCTATTCGGTTTTGCTGCAATGAGCTCCGTGACTGGCACGTACGAGTTGCAGGAACCCCTCAACTACCGAGGTGGAACCCGTGTCCAGCCTGCGGATGGGAACCACTTCGAAGAAGTGTATGAGCCAGCAACAGGTAACTATTTATTTCTTTATTTATACCTCCGTGTGGGACTTGCTTAGGATCTGGAGTCCAGGGAGAGGGTAGCCAAAGGTACAGGTGTATGGAAGCCATCCTTCCTTGGCAGAATCACACCTTAGGAATCCACTGCAGGACTTTGTGTTGCATCTATGTGGTGATTAGGCAATACTTGTATTGCTCAGAAATTATTGCTGGGCTTAGATTTGTTTAAATTGGAAAGAATTCCCCCATAGTCTTCTGGCCTTGGAAGCAGCTTATCAGTGGGTATCATTTCTTATCTTTTCTTTATAATAGGACATTGTACTTGCCTGATTGTTAGGAGAAAAACTTTATCTCCTTCCAAGACCTGAGATGCAAGAGAGTAGTGGCAAGAGTTGTGATGCTGACATTTGTTTAGGCAGGTTTGTGTAAAAAAAACAACCCCAAGGCCAGTGAATTACCATTTTCCCACATTAGCTATGTCTTGCCTTTACAGAAGAAATGACTGTTCCTTCATATTCTTCACTGTATGGGGTGAAATAGATTAAGCAGGGAAAGTGCTTTGTATGCACTGAAATTTCACAGAAGTGTAGAAAAGGCATAAAATATTATATTGGCCTCAAAGTTCCTGAGAACATCATGTGTCCTCAATCCCCCCTTCCATTTTTCTAGCTATTTACATTCAGAAAGATACACTCAGAAGTGTAATGCCTGGTGGAATATATAAAACCAAAGCAACTGCAGAATCAGGTTTTTATTGGGTGTGGCCATGAATGGAACACTCCATGCAAGACAATAAAAATACTTGAGGGAACTCTTTTGCATGATGCGTACAAGTTGGAGAGTTCTGGTTTTTGTAATCACTGTATTTGAATTATCTTGGCAAAGAACCTTTAAGTAGACATATCCCTGAGCTGTATCGAGATCTTTCCTCCTTCTCTTTGACATTTTAAAAAACCGCAAAGGAGAATTCAGAGATGACAGGAATAGCTGTCACAGTTGTTTTTGTACCGGAGAGCTGTGAAAGGCCAGAGACCCAAAACACAGTTCATGTGGGCTCAGTTTCTGTGAGTGGTTCTTGTAATAGAACCATGGTAGATCATGTGAATTCAGTACCTCTAGGCAGGAGACCTCTGCCTCTACCCACCAATACTTTTCTAGGCGCCTGCCAGCTTTTTATAAATGTGGGTGGGGACAGGTGGGACTCTTACCCAGCAGGACGTCTGATTGGCAATTGGAGATCTGATTGGCTTTGCAGATTTTTTTTAAAATCAGTTTGGCTACAGCTGCCACAGCATCACTACATGACTGAAAGTAAGCCGTATGTAAGCCCCCCATAAAATCCTTAAACCATTCAAAAAGGTTTGCTGTCAAGCACAGCTTCTGCCTGAAATTACTATTAGAGTCATGTTATAACCTCAAGTCCCTGAAATTTTGTGGCTGGCTGTATCTCAGGAGGCAAGGCGTTTTGTAGCTGCACCTGCCACCCTGTATCAGAATTCCAAAGGTGTCCTCGTGCTCAAAGAGGTTGGCGATCCCTGCTCTGTTGGTTCTTTTCATCCACTAGGTACGTGACTGTCAGTAGGAAGAGGCAGACTTTCTTTCTGATGGTTTTATATCCATGCCTTTTTCATACGTATTTCTGTATCGTGCCTTTGATTCAGTTTTCCGTTTGCAATTTGCTGTTGTGGTGTATTATGCAGCAGTGCCTTCCAATAAACCGCTTAATTTATATCAGTCTGCATCTCCCTACTGACAGGGTAATAAGAACCCATAGGAATAGAGGCCTCCTGCTAGAGGGAACCAAATGCAGATCACGCTACAGAATCTGAATTCCTTTCTTCTTCTTCCTTAGGCCGTGTCATTGGCAAGTTTCTCTGCTCTGGTGAGAAGGAGGTGAATCTAGCTGTGCAGAGCGCACAGGCCGCATTTAAAATATGGAGTCAGAAGTCAGGCATGGAACGGAGCACGATATTGTTGGAGGCTGCCAGGATCATCCGGGTACGTAGAAAAAGGGCATGGACCAGCTCCATCAGCTCGTCTGTTATTCTGAACACTCTCTGGGGTGCTGGGCATGCAACCAGAGATCTGCAAATCTTTGCTTCTTTGAGTATTGCTGTTTTGTGGCTTCGAGTCACGGCTGACTTATGACCACCCTGTGGGGTTTTCAAGGCAAGAGATGTACAGAGGCGTTTGCTATTGCCTGCCTCTGCATCATGACCCTGGTATTCCCTGCAGGTCTCCCTTCCAAATACTAGTCAGGGCTGGCCCTGCTTAGTGTCTGATGAGATCAGGCTAGCCTGGACTATCCAGGCCAGGTCATTGAATAGCTAGCCATTATTTGGGGCTGTCAGCCACCCCTTCCCTCTACCCAATGCTCTTGTATACAGAGATCCCTAAGGAGGAAGGTTCCACTCCCGTTAATTTGCACAGGGCTTTGTAGAAGCAGAACCCAACAAGGAGGACTTGTCTTTCCCCCAATTCAGTGCCACCATGTGAAATAAGACTCCTTCCCCCTCCCATAAGTCCTCTGGAATGCATAGAGGACTTGTGGGAGTTGTACTCTTGCTTCTTGCAGAGCTGTGGAAATGAAGCAACACAAATCCCTCTTTCTACTCCCCCAGTGCCTGGTCTCATTGGGGAAATCAAGGGAGGAGAAGTGACCTTTGTCCATGGAAGGGGGGGGACGGTCGCCATTGGCAACAGCATTTGTAGACTCCCTGTTAATAAGACTGTCTGAGAATTGTTAACCTATTGACATCTCCAGATAAGCTTGTCACCTTTGGTCACAGAAGCCACACAGACCCTCCCAGGTGTCCTTCCCTTCCCAGTCTGGTGTTTTTTTTAATAGCTCAAGTGGCAAATTACTTGCACACAAGCTTAACATGTTTTGAAGCCCTGAGAACACTCCGAGGATTTCCCTTGCATTGTCTGCACTTCTGTTATGCCCACTTTGCAGTTCCAAAGTGAAAATACTTGTAGGAGTACCATCCCTTTCGTGTTAGCGTTAATCTTTCCTGTGAGCCATCAGGATGGAAACGGGAGTGTGAGTGGGGTGCAGCTGTGCTTTCTTTTTTCGTTTCTGCTGGGGGTGGGGGGAGAGGTGTTTGTCCTGTTCAGCAGCTACCCTGCATTAGTATTTTGGTTTCTTAACTTTGTATGTGATAGAGAGGGGAGAGGTACCTCCATTGAGGTACTGATGATCAGAGGGAGATGGGGTGAGAAAGTGCCAGGCCTGGTAAAGGGCAGGAGGGGTCAAGAGGGTTACACCCAGTGTTCCCTCTAAGCTGAGTTAGTGTGAGCTAGCACACAGATTTTTAGCCTCCAGCTCACAGATTTTTGTTTTAGCTCAGGAAGGATGGCTCCAGAGCAAACTAATTTATGCAGCAGCCAAATTGCTCACTCACAACTTTAGTGCCAGTAGCTCACAAAGTAAAAGTTTTGCTCACAAGACTCCACAGCTTAGAGGGAACATTGGTTACGCCCCCTCACTGTTTCCAGTTTCTGTCTTAACCAAAAGGACCCCGATTAACCTGCCGGCCGCACATCAAGCCTAAAAGTCCTGCTCCCGAATGCCAGGTTGGTTTATAATAAATCAGCAATTAACAGATTGTAATAAATCAGCAAGGAAACTGGCATGTTACAGAGACGTGTCTGGGAGAAGGAAGAATAGATCTCTACCAGATGTCCTCAATGGGTTTCCTGGTGCGGTATCAGGCTGGACTCGGTGAGCAATGAGCTCCTTTAGTACTGAATACAACGCCCACTTTGGGAGAGGGGATCAAAGTGTAATACAAGCCTTCTCCGAGACTTAATCACACCAATCTCAACTCTCTCTTGGGTCTTGATGCTTGCCTGTCAATCCCCCTGCCTGGGGGATGCTGCGTTGGGCCGATAAACTGCCCAAACTGCTGAAAGGAGCCCTCGTCCACCCTGAGCAATTACGGGGTGTGTCAAATCGCCATTTTTCCCCGACCGGAAGCCCTCTCACCGGGTGCTTTTGTCAGCCAAAGGTCCTCACTTGGGTTTCTTGCATCTCATGCTGGGGACTCCATGCCAAATCCAGAATCTGTTGGTGTATTGCCTGCGTGTTGTCCATCATCCTGCCTGAGGTGACAGGAAATTTCAGGTTGGGTATTGAGGATCCTAAGACTTGTGTTCCTCAAAGACTACAACATCCAGGCTCCCCTTATGAAAGTGGATCAGGAGTTCATTTCCCCCATGACAACTGTGAGGCTATCCCCAGAACTTTCTGGTCCATACACACATAAGCGGGGCATATGCTCACCCTGGTTTTCAAGGGGGACAAGGTGCATGGATCAGTAAGGGTGGAGTTTTCTACTCTGCCCTTCTTTATGGATTGGGCATTACCCGGTGAAGTTTAGACTCACAGAACTTCCACAAGGGTTAGGGGTCCCTTTAAGATGGTCTGCACTGAGAGGCTAATATATCTGGAAGGTTTCCTGATGTCTGCAGGGGATTTTCCAGTTAGCAAGGCCCTGGTTGATTTATGGAGTGCAAAATGACCCAGGTGATGGACACAATCACCCCCAAGTGCCCTCTCTCCTCCTGTGCAGTTCAGAATACTCGTAGTTTTACTAAGGAGCCCAGAGAAATGAATCATCAGGACCTACAGAATACAAATGGAGGAAAACGGGGTGCACATGACCAAAGAGAGGTCAGTGCATGTTATCATGTCCACTGTGCAGCAGCAATGGCAGCAAAGCTGGCTCATTTTCCCACCATTATTGGATGTGAGGGATGCCACCCAGTGGTGGTTTTCAACATTGTAAGGGGGGAAATTGCATCTCAGGCCTGTAAGGGTGTAGACTGCAATAACATACAGGGCCCCCTGCGAGTCGTTTGAGAGGAGTGTGCAGACAAAATAGTTTGTTTGCAATGACTTGTACGCTGCAAGTAATCCAATCACATTTCAGGTTGATGTCAGAGTACCATATGGTTGTGGGGAAGACTGTCAGCTGGTGAGGCCTGCTGCACAGGCTGCTTCTAAGTATGTGTCCCGTCACATCTAGCCTCTACCCTTGCCCCTCTTAGCTGATAATTTTGGCCCCGATTGGGCTATTCAGATAGATCCAGGAGGCTTTTGAATGCATTCTTTAAAGAGAGAATGGTGCCATCCCCCCCCCTCCCTTGAAGGAGGTGGTCATGAAATCGCTCCTGAAGAAGGCATCCCTGAACCCAGTAACCTCAATAACTGCTCCAGCACTCATCTCTTGGGCAACATGATCAAGCATGCCGTGGCTACAGCTTTATTCTGGAGGAAACAGCTTGCCCAGACCCAATTCAATAAAGATTTAGGCCTGGGTTTGGAATGGAAACTGCCTTGGAGGCCTTGACTGTGGCTATCTTCCCTGTGAGAGTGACAGAGGGAGCGCGCTCTGGTCATTCTGGACTTATCAGTGGTGTTCAGTACCCTCACCTGTGGTGTCATTCTGGAGCAGCTGGTTGAGTCTTGGGCAGGCCACTAGCCAGGATTTTTTGTGGGTCATATTTGTTTTTTCTGGGGCGGACACAACATCAAATGAACAATGAAATAAGAGAAACATGAATTGCAGCTCTTCTAACCTGAATTGTATTTGTAGCTCTTCACCACCACCACCACCCGTTTTGATGCAGCCATCAAATGAAAACTGGACTTTTTGGCTGCTTTAAAAAAATTATGATTTACTTTGTAGCAGCTCTTCGAACAAGAAATTGTGGCTCATCAACCCACCCCCACCCATCCCAATCTTTTTTCCTTGCTTTAAAGAAATCATGAATTGTTTGCAGCAGCTCTCCAAACATGAATCATAGCTGCCGAAAGTCAGTTTCAGCTTGACGGCACACAATTATTATAGGCCCCCGTGCCTCTTTTTCAAATGATTTCTCCAGCCTGTGGTTCCTTGGGAAAGCGGTTTTGCTTCCTCTCATTTGCACCTCACTGGGATGAGGCGCACACCAGGGAACTTGTTCAGGGGCTGAGGTGCTCGGGCAGCGGAAGGGGATGACGATGATGGCATGCCTTCTCTCTCTCTTTCCTTCCCCAGTCGCCCCCCCCCCCAAGCTTCATGGAGACTGGGGAAGGGAAGGAAAGCTGCCCTGCCTCTTCCAGTCAGTTTGATTCCAGGGCTCACAGCTTGTTAAGCCTAACAGCTGATGGGTAGGGAGTGAAACTAACCAGAAGCTGCAGGGCGGCTTCCCTTTCTTTCTCCAGCCTCGCCACCGCTGTGGGGCTAGGCGCACTGGGGGTGGGGATGTCTGGCATCCTCAGGTGACGGGGCAAGGCTCGTCGGTGTTGGGGCTCTGCCCCCAAATGCCCCACCTTGGCTATGGGCCTAGTCTTGGGGTGGGCACCTGCTCCTATCTGGCTGGCCTCTTTCAGAAAGCGGTTCTGGGGGACTGCCGCTCAGCCCCATGGCAAGGATTGGTCTTCTCTGTGCAGCTTAGCATCTATACGAGACCACTGGAAGAGATCATCTGGGGGTTTGAAGTGAGGTGTCACCAGTAGCTGGGTGACATTCAGCTCTCTTTCTCCTTGACGGGTGAGTGAGGTGGGTCTGTGGAGGTTCTGGACCAATATGTAGAGAAGATAGCTGGATGGATGAGAGCCAATAAACTGTGCCAGATAAGAGAGAGATGGAATTGCTCAGTGGTAACGCTACCCAGGCATCAGTTCAAGAAGAGGGGTTCTGTTGCCCAGCCCTACAGCTTCCATTTGGGAACATGAGTGGTGGCTGCTCAAATGTTCCTTAAGAGGTCAGAACGAAAGAAAATGGTGAGAGTAGAAATGTGAGGGGCTGAAGAAGGTTGTGAGAGGGAGGGGCTGGGGCTCAGTATAGGAGCATTGGTTTGGCATGCAGTAAGTCCCAGGTTCAATCCTTGGCATCTCCAGTTAAGAGGATTAGGTAGTATGTGAAGTGAAAGACCTCTGTCTGAGATCCCAGAAAACCGCTGCCAGTCTGAGTGGGCAGTATGCCAGCATCGGAGGTTAGGAGTTTGGG